TGTCATACTGCATTTGACTTTCTAATTTTTTATTAGACTGTCTGAAGTGTTTTTGATGAAATATTAATAAAGTCATTATTCTGTGTTAGGTTTAGGATTCCAGCTGAGGATGAAAGATAAGTTATAACAAATTTTGTGCCCTGTAGGAACTGGGAAGTATCAAAGTGATTCTCAAAATGAAATTTTATGATGTCTTGCATTCACCTATAAGGATTTTTGTTGTTGGTGTTTTTTTTTTTTTTTTCTTTCAGAGGTGGAGTCTCACTCTGTTGCCCAGGCTGGAGTGCGGTGGCACGATCTTGGCTCACTACAACCTCCACCTCCTGGGTTCTAGCAATTCTCCTGCCTCAGCTTCCCAAGTATCTGGGACTACAGGCGCATGCCAACGTGCCAGGCTAATTTTTTGTGTTTTAGTAAAGACGAGGTTTCACTGTGTTGCTGAGGCTGGTCTTGAACTCCTGAGGTCAGGCAATCTACCTGCATTAGCCTCCCAAAGTGCTGGGATTACAGGTGTGAGCCACCACGCCCAGCCAAGGATTGTTTAACATGCAGATTCTCAGGTCCGACCATAAAAAGACTGACTCATAATCTCTGGGGACGGGACTTGAAAATTCACAATGTAATAGGTTCTCCCTACAATTTTAATGCAAACTAAAGTTAGTTGATCTAGTGAAGGTTGGAGGGTAGAGGAATAAACAATTTACAATGTTTAAAATATAATAGTAACTTCTAAGAAAGAGCCACTAACTACCAAGGGAAATCTAAGTGAAGGCTTAATTCAGAAGCTGACATTTTCATGGTTTTGAAAATGTTGTGCCTTGCCAAGAAGAGATGGAAGGTGTGGTGGAGGGCATCTCAATGACTCATGTTGTCCATAATATTTCTACTAAGAGAAATACACAGTGGATACTCACTAAATGCTTTGCCTAGTCAGTTTCTATCTGAAGCCTTCCTCCATCAGCCTCTATTCTGTGTTCTTCAGGGATTTCAGTGACTTCATTTTCCTTGATGGCTCTACACCAGGTTTTGAAGGATTTTAATGGTTAACAGGTACTTGAATGTAATAAATCTGTATATATGTACATATATTTAATACATGAGTACACACACACACACACACACACACACACAAACAGGCATACCTCACAGATTTGCAGGTTAGGTTCTAAACCAACCTAGTAAAGCAACTATTGAAATAAAGTGAGTCACACAAATATTTTGATTTCCCAGTGCATATAAGCATTATGTTTACTGTAGTTTATTAAGTATGCAGTAGCGTTATGTCTGGAAAAATAACTAACATACCTTACTTAAAAATACTTTATTGCTGCTGGGCATGTCAGTACATTCCTGTAGTCCCAGCTACTCAGGAGGCTGAGGTGGGAGGATCCCTTGAGCCCAGGAGTTCCAGGCCAGCCTGAGCAATATAGGGAGACTTCCATCTCTAAAAAACCCCCAAAACTTTATTGCTAAAAAATGATAATGATCATTTGAGTCTTCAGCATGTTATCTTTTTTTCTGGTGGACAGTCTTGCTTCAATGTGAATGGCTGCTGACTGATTAGGGTGGTGATTGCTGAAAGCTGGGATGGCTGTGGCAATCTCTTAAGAATGAAATTTGCTGCTTTGAGAGACTCTTATTTTCATGAAAGATTTCTCTGTGGCATGTGATGTTGTTTGCCAGCATTTTACCCACAGTAGAACTTCTTTCAGTACTGGAGTCAATCCTCTCCAACCACTGCTTTATCAACTAAGTTTATGTGGTATTCTAAATCCTGTCTTATTATTTCATCAGTATTCACAGTATCTTCACTAGGAGTAGATTTCATCCCAAGAAGCCACTTTCTTTGCTCATTCATAAGAAGCAACTCCTCATACCTACAAGTTTTATCATGAGATTATAGCAGTTCAGTCACATCTGCAGGCTCCACTTCTAACTGTAGTTCTCATGCTATTTCGACCATGTCTGTAGTGACCTCCTCCACTGGCCTTGAACTCCTCAAGGTCATCCCTGAGGGTTGGAATCAACTTCTTCCAAACTCCTGTTAATGTTGACATTTCGACCTCTTCCCATGAATCTGAATATTCTTAATTACATCTAGAATGGTGAATCTTTTTCAGAAGGTTTTCAATTTACTTTGCCTAGATATATTAGAGAAATGACTATCTATGGCAGTGATAGCCCTATAGGTTTTTTTTTTTTTTTAGATAGAGTCTTATTTGTGGCCCAACCTAGAGTTCACTGGCACAGTCATAGCCCACTGTAATCTTCAACTCTTGGGCCCATGGGATCCTTACATCTCACTTTCCTGAGTAGCTAGGACTACAGGCACACACCACCACACCTGGCTAATTATTCTAATTTTTGTAGAGATGGGGTGCCGCTATGTTGCCCAGGCTGATGTTGAACTCCTGGGCTCAAGTGATCCTCCTGCCTCAGCCTCCCAAAGTGCTGGGATTACAGGTGTGACCCATCATAGCTAGCCATGAAATGTATTTTTAAAATAAGACTTGAGAATCAAAGCTACTCCTTGATCCATGGGCAGTAGAATGGATGCTGTATTAGCAGGCATGAAAACAACATTAATTTTCTTGTACATCTCCACCAGAGCTGTTGGGTGACCAGGTGCATTGTCAATAAGCAGCAATATTTTGAAAGGAATCTTGTTTTCTGAGCTGTAGGTCTCAACAGTAGGCTTAAAATATTTAGTAAATCATTCTGTAAACAGATGTACTGTCATCTAGGCTTTGTTGCTCCATTTATAAAGCACAGGCAGAGTAGATTTATCATAATCCTTAAGGGCCTTAGGATGTTCAGAAGGGTAAATGAGCACTGGCTTCAACTTAAAGTCAGCAGCTGAAATAGTTCCTAACGAGAATCAGCCTGTCTTTTGCAGCTTTGAAGCCAGGCATTGACTAATACTCTTTAGCTGTAAAAGTCCTAGATGGCATTGTTTTCCAATAGTGTTGTTTCATCTGCACTGAAACTCTTTGTTTAGTATAGCCACCTTCATCAATTATTTTAGGTAGATCTTTTGGATAACTTGCTGCAGCTTCTTATCAGCATTTGTTGCTTCATCTTACACTTTTATAGTCTCCCTTTTTTAGACAGAGTCTTGCTCCATTGCCAGGCTGGAGTGCAGTGGCACAATCTTGGCTCACTGCAATCTCTGCCTCCCAGGTTTCTCAGCCTCCTGAGTAGCTAGGACTACAGGCGCACACCACCATGCCAAGCTAATTTTTTTGTATTTTAGTAGAGATGGGGTTTCACCATGTTGGCCAGGATAGTCTTGATCTCCTGACCTCACGATCTGCACATCTCAGTCTCCCAAAGACACGTTTATGTTCTGGAGATGGCTTTTCTTAAACATCACGAACCAACCTCTGCTAACTTCCAACTTTTCTTCTGCAGCTTCCTTACCTCTCAGCTTTTGTGGACTTGAAGAGAGTTAGAGCCTTGCTCTGGATTAGGCTTTAGCTTAAGGAAATGTTATGTCTGGTTTTATCTTCTATCCAGAACACAAAAACTTTACCAGCAATAAGGCTCCTTTGCTTTCTTATCATTTGTGTATTCACTGGAGTAGTATTTTTACTTTCCTTCAAGGACTTTTCCTTGGCATTCACAACCTGGCTGTTTGGTGCACGAGCCCTAGCTTTTGGTCTGTCTCGGCTTTCAATATGCCTTCCTCACTAAGTTTAATCATTTCTAGCTTTTGATTTAAAGTGAGAGATGTGATTCTTTTACTTGAACACTTAGAGACCATTATAGAGTTATTAATTGGCCTAATGTCAACATTGTTGTGTCTCAAGAAATGGGGAGGCCCAAGAGAGGGAGAGATATGGGGGAAGGTATGGTTGGTAGGGCAGTCAGAACACACACATTTATGGATTATGGTCATTGTCTTATATGGGTGCTGTTTGTGATGCCCCAAAGTAATTATAATAGTAACTTCAAAGAGCACCATGGAAAAAATTTGAAATATTGTGAGAATCACCAAAATATGACAGTGATATGAAGTGAGCACATGCTGTTGGAAAATGGTGCCCATAGATTTGCTTGATGCAGGGTTGCCACAAACCTTCAATTTGTTAAAAAAATGCAGTATCTGGAAAGCACAAAATGTATGCCTGTTAAAGGTTTTAAATAAGCCATTTTTTTTTAAAGAGAAAACTTTCAAGAAGCTTTTCAGACAGCAGAGCACAAAATGTATGCCTGTTAAAGGTTTTAAATAAGCCATTTTTTTTTAAAAGAGAAAACTTTCAAGAAGCTTTTCAGACAGCAGACAATAAGTATTTGTTGACTAAATGGTCAAGTTGGAGTGAGCAGATTTTATAATTTTATTGTACGAATCACCACCAGCAATTTTATTTTTGATGCTTATAGATGGACAGTGGTGCCTATGTCTATCTGGCCTTTAGTTCCGTTTTGTTTTTTCCTGCCAAAGGACAGTGCTTAGAACTTCCCATTCTTCCTTGTAGTGGCGGAAATCTGTCACCCCAAGATTATGAATTAGGTAGAAAAGTAATGTAAGAGCCAATCACAGGCACCCTCCAGAGCGGCTCCAGACTGGCGTCTCGGGGAGGACTGGCGGAAGATGAGACTTCCTTACCTCCGTTCAATCGGACAAAGAAAGCCATAACAGTTTAGGACAACAGAAAATTCCTTGTGGGTTAAACTGCGGTGGGACTGACTGTTACACAGAAGGCATAATCGGAAAACTTCTATACACTGTGTATCACGGATACATTATTTTCTGAAATCCTGGAGAAACGATTAGCAGTTGTGGTATCACCAGTACCAAAAATGGCTGTAAAGCGCTGCGGACGCTGGATCAGGTGACGCAGCCTCAGCCCGCCCCCTTCCCACCAGCGGCTCCTCCTCCTGCTTCCCTTGGGCAGGAGGTGCACGTGGGGGCGTGGTGGGCGTGGGGGCGTGGTGGACGTGGGGGCGTGGGGGCGTGGTGGGCGTGGGGGCGTGGTGGGCGTGGCTTGCCCAGAGGCTCTTTCTTCTAAGGCCGGGAAAACCGAGGGATACACATGCGCAGTTGGACGCCTCGGGCCCTTGGTGCCGCTTCCCAAGCATCTCCCCGCCCCGACCTCTGGGCGGGGCTGGGCCAAGAGTCCAGCTGCTGTTCGCCGGAGATTCAGTGACTTCCTTGTTGTGAGCCCTGGCCCGGCAGTGTCCCAACTTGTGTCCCCGCTGTTATTCGGGCCGCTAGCCTGAGTCTAGGTCGCAGCCGCAACCCCGTCGGTCACCTTTTCAGCGCAGTTCTTTTCCCCGCACGCCCTGCGCTCCCTAACATGCCCAACCCCGGCAGCACCTTCTCTCCTTACCCCCTCCCTGAGGAAATTAGGAACCTGTTGGCAGGTAAAGAGCGGGAAGGTGGCGGTAATGCTGTTGGGGTGGGGGCGAGGGAACGGCGAGCCGGTGGGGACAGAAGCACTCAGAGCCCTTACGCTCCCTCCCCCGCTCCCCACGTCTTCTGGCCAGTGGGGTCGGCACATGGAGGAGAGAAGAGGGGCTGTTTCCTCTCAGAAAGAGAGTGGGCGTGTGTGTTGAAATTTGGTGCGGGGATGGTGGCGAGGCCCTTTTTGATGATCTACACAAATGGGATCAGAACGTTTCTAAGTGCATTGTGAAGACGCGGTGCGTGTGACAGAGGAGGGGGCGGGGGAAGAAGAGTGGAGGAGGGAGAGAGAATGATCATGATAATGAATGCTGTGTGAGCAGGCAGAAGCGAGCAGAAGTCAAAGAAGTAGTTCTTGGGTGGTCTGGCCAATGGAGGTAGAGGATGTAGAGATGCAAAGAGATGTCAGAGCCACAGGTGTTAGGGGTTATGCATTGAAAGGGTTTGTCATTTCTAAAACTCCCATTTTTCTTAAACATTCAGCTCACTCACATTTAAGACTTGCAGAAGGTCTGATTCTCAAATGACCATTTGTTCTCAGCCTCAGTAATATATTAAAGCAAAAAAGGAAGGATATGTTAAAGTTGTACTTCCTGTGTCACACGATGAAAGTACTTCATCTTTGCACCCTTATCTTCCCCTTTTCGGTTTTACATTACCATTTATAAGAACTCATTTTAGGAGCTAAAAACATGGCTCTTCAGTAGCATTATGAATCCACTACTAGTTCGTTAATGTACTGGATATGGAGGTGTGTATGTTCACTAAGAACCAATGAAAATTGATATTTCTGTACAAGGTAGAAAATATATCTTTTTGAGGTAGCACAAATCTTGCCTATCTTAATGTTCTGGAATTTTAATCATCATTTATTTTGTCTAGTGTACGTCAAAATTCTGGAAATTGAATGTTGATTTTTAGTTTTAGTTGTCTCTAAAATATTTATCTTTCAGTATTGTTCATGAATAACTAGACTACAGATTGCTTATTCTAACTCTTAAAAAGCAATGCCATCTAATATGTGACATTTGAAATAGTAAGTTATAGCAACGTGAGTCCAAATCTCCTAATATGCTGTTATACAATGTTGGTGCTTGGCATCATTAATATGGCAGGGAAAATAAAACTAAGTTGTATTAATGTAGACTTATGTTTGTATGATTATGGTACAGTATATTGAATGCATTTGTGGTGGGATAGCCTTTCACTCTAAGAAATGCTTGTTGTCATTAAAGGGTACCACTAAAGGAAATAAAGAAGTCTAAAGACTGACTTCAGTCAGCTTTATTACATCACATGACTACTGATTTTGTTTTACTACAGTTAACATTTTTTGTTGTTACAATGCTGGAATTGTTTGTTTAGAATATTATTGTAATAACCAGTTCAGAAAAATGTGTATCATTATTCCAAAAATAGATGAAACCATTTTCAGTATATTCTATGTCTGTATTTTTGAATTTAAGAAATAACATATAGACCTCTAGGTGCATGTTTTAAAGCTTGGCAGCTCCCATAGTACAGTTTGTTATTTGGATCTGTAATCGTCCATCAAAGATAATATGATATGTAGGTCGTGAGACTCTTTATTCTCTGATCCCCATAGATCACAAGTGTTTCATGTGGCCCTTATTTGTGTAGTTTAACTAAAAACTCAAAATTACATATTTAATATATCTGCCAATGCTAACTTCCGATATGTTTCTGCCATCTCTCTTTATTCAGGTAATATACTGGCATAATGTCTGAAATTATTTTAAAGTCATTTTATTGACATTTTCATTATTTTATATTAAAGCAAATCACATATTAAAACACACATGAAACATGAAAACACATGAAATATTAAAACAAATATTAAAACTTTTGGAATTATAAATTTGGATTATACTTTATATTCAGAGGATATTTTCAAGAAGTATGAAAGTGAATTGGGGCATATTTATATTTAAAGAAATATAACAAATAAGTGTTTTTCAGGTTTAAAAAAACTTATTTGGACAGTTGTTAACATTTTATGTTTGACTGTAATTAAAATCTTTTTCTGAGGTAGAGAAGGATTCAAGAATAGATGCTGTCAGCAATTATTTCACATACTGCATCTAAAAATATTGTTGGCATTGTGCATGATTCTTTTTATAATTCAAGTGTATTGGGTAATAGTATATGAGTAGATTTAGAGTAACTAAAATTATAGAAGTATTTATATTGGTTTGAATATTAGAGATACTGCTGGCTTATTTCGTATATTTCTTTGAAACTAAGGAGATATTGGTAGTGTTGGTTGTAGTTAACAGTTGAGTGCTCTTGGAATGCATGGTACTATGCTAGAATTCAGGGTAGAGAAGTTAAGGAACTAAACTTTTCAGGAGTTTTAAATCCTTTGTTTTTAGAAAAACGAATAGGAAATCCAAAGATAATGACTGTTAAAAAAGTTGCTTGGATGTATCTATTTCTGTTCCACATGCCTATTATCTAAATCATTATATGTCATATGTGTTGTTTGAAATTTCACCTGTTTAAAAGGGATAAGTACTCAAGTGTATTCTTATTTATTATTTTTCTTTCTCTTTATTTTTCTGACTGATTATGGCAGTCCAGGCTATGCTTTCAACATTTGCTCCCTCTCCCTTCTTCTTTCCCCTATAAAAAACATTCCATAGAAATGTCAAAAAAAAAAAAAAAAGAAGTCATTATTCTTAACTCACATATAGTGATACCTTTGAAAAAGTGGCTATCTAGTTTGATTTTTAGTTAAATTTTTTGGGGAGTTAGTATATTAAGTCTTGAAGACCTATGCTTTTTATAAAATGTTGTTGATTATTCTTTTGGTTATATGAATAGAAAAGGACTTACAGAATTTTGTTGTTAAAAGCAAATTTTGAGCTGCCATTGGTTTTACAGGCAACCTTTGATTTTTTTTTTTTTTCTTTTCTATAGCAATGGAAGAACAGGTTTAGCCTGGATAACTGAAATCAAAGGACAATCCCAAATCTTGTCCATTTAATGTTCTCTCACATCCAAATATTTTGACTAGGACTAGCAGCAAGAATAATCTTGATTTATGTGAGTTTTTTTTTTTCTCTAGGCATGCAAGAAAGTAAGAGAGGAACTAGAACCACTTCCCTCCAGCCTCCTTCATTTGTTTAATCATCCTTTAAATAATGGTTTGTTAGTGGCTTACAGCCAGATATTGTCATTCATCCCCATTCATTTGTTTTAGGACAACAAATTTTAAAAGGAAAGCTGTAAGAAGTTGTTATTTTCAGTTTACTAAATTAGAAAATGAAACCATTGTTAAAAGAAAATAGTGATTGTCACTGCTCTGAAAAATCAAACCAAACCAACCAAACAATAAATAAAGTGGTTATATAGTTTCTGCAAAGTGATCTTGAGATTTTGTTGACGTGGCAATCTTGATTAGAAATATCACATTTTCCTTACTGGGGATTTTCAGGGCATTAAAAAAATTTTTTTTCCACACATTATGTATGAAGATAATCAATATATTTAGCGGACATTGATTATCTTTACACATTGATTATAATATGTGAATTTTTTTTCTACACAATATTATTTAGGGTGTATGATCAATCCCCTAATGAGTTCCTATAGGGGCACTGGGTAAAGAATGCAATTTATTTGAAATAGAGGCAGAATTTTTTCAATGCTGAATATAGTATGGTTTGATTTTCACCTTTCCAAGGTTCCGTTTATAATTTGGTCAACATTTTGATTTTATTTTTCCTATGATAATTATTTATGGTATATCTACTGTCCCATAACTTCCTTCTGGGACATTGGCTCAGTATGTAAAGGGAAGAGTGGCACCTACTGAGTCACCGATAGTCACCTACCTCTTTAGCACCTGGATTTTCCTACAGAGCAAGAACAAGCTTGCCCCATTTTGGCAGCAATCACTAAAGAGCATAAAGTTGTTATGAGAACATTTAATCTCAAAATGAAATCTATTGTACCTCCAAGATATTCTTTTCTGGAAATAGGAATATACGTAAATTAAGGGACTAGAGGTTTATAGAGATTTTTTTGTATGAGTTAAATAATATAGATGAATTAAGATGTGGTGTTAGGAAAACTATTTGCCTGTTTTAAGTATATAATGTCCTACTTTTTCTTGGAAGGACTTTGGCATGGTGGTCCATTGAAAGTATTTTTACTTAGATTACTGTATAAGACTCTTGATATCATGCACAGTTTTTATAGCTAACCAGTCCAAATTATCATTGGTTTTCTTTAAAAGGAGGAATCCAAACATATTTTTAAAGATAGCATTATATGAAATCTTTGCAAATGAGCTTATTGTTCCTGTTACCAGCATTAAAGTATTACTAGAAAAAAGGTAGAAACAACAGAGTAGAAAAAGCTGCCGGTGATTTGAAACACTGTTTAGTTGTCTCTCATAAATTTCAGATTAAGTGTCATATATGGGTGATAAAAGTGGCATAGGCTAGACTTTATATACTCATTATTCACTTAGTTTGTCCTTTTCAATTAAAGCTAACTCTATCTTTTTCATTCCACTGGGTTTACATTTCTTTTTAAATCACATCCTGAACACATTACAATAGATGCTGCCTAAAAGTGAATATAGTGTAAGTTTCAGACTAATATGTTATTCACTGTGGCTTCTTTGAAAATGTGTGGTAAAAAGATTTTGATAATTATAAGGTGCTATTTATCAAGAGTCATCTTTTAGAGGTTGAAAGATGTTCAGCCCTACCTTTAAACAGCCTAGCTTTCTATAAAAATAAATCATTTAGCCTCTGAAAGTCGATTTTGGAAATTTTGTTCAGTGATTGGATTGTAAGACTCTGGTATGTTTTATCCATTATACTATGAGAGCTCTTATGCCTGTTTATGTCTCCTTTTCCATGTTTGAAAAATCCATAGTTCATCTGTAACCTATAAAAGTGCTAGGTAATCAAGGAAGGACATCAGCTAGAACAATCAATAACTTTTCAATTAGCCATTTTCCAACTTTGGGTATTTGGCTCCATTGATTTGCATGTGCCAGTTTAATTGATTTTTATATTTTTACCAGTAGCTGTTTGGTCAGAACCATACCTTGCTTTAACAGAGAAAAGCATGTCTTTTTTTTTTTTTTTTTCTTTTTCCTGATGGCAGCTTACATTCTAGGCTAGGATCCCTATCATATTAAGTTTGGTGGCAGCACATCTCAATGAATGCAAAGAGAAATCTGGCCCAATTCACAAATGTTGAGTGAGATGTGGAATTAAGTTAGTAAGGCCATTGGGGGTGCTGTGTGATTGGTTTTACATTTATTGATCTGGGGCTGAGCATATGGTGGTAGATTCAGTCCAAATCTTGCTCCCTCTCCCATACAATTCAGGCCATCACAGAGGCTGTGTGTGTGTATATGCTTGTGCAAGGAGGTATTGGATGGTTGGAGGACTAGGCAGGAAGAGGAGGTGTTACCTTTGTGACTTGTTTTTAGCCTCCAGCCTGCAAGTCATATTCTAGGCTGATAGTGGGGGGTGGTGAGGACAAGTGGGCAAACTGCTTTTCAAGAGTGAGAACCTGTGCTAAATACTACATCCAGAAGCTGAGTTATTTTATCATTTGCAAAAAATTTTAAACTGTTCTGACCTGGTGTAGTTCCACCTTTTCACTATGTGATCTGTATAGCGTAGAAGTTGGTAGAAAGCAGTTAGTGTGTGTGTTAGATACTTGTCCCAACCACTCTCGACTCTAGGGAAAGGTGGGGTGGCTGTTTTTTAGGAAGTCTATATGTTAAAAGGGGGAAAAAAGGAAAATTAGAGTACGATTCAGTGACTTGGTGTAAGTGTTTGCCTCTTGCGGGTCTCCATGGCTATGGAGAGATTTCTAACTTAAACTGCCTAAGATTGCTGAGCCAGAATATATCATCTTTTAATTTTGTTTAACATTTATTAACAGAACAGTTGTAAATCTGATCTTTTCAGATGCCTTCTCCCCCAGATACTTACAGCTGTACCAGGAGATAAGGTTTACCCTTGACAGTGTTAAGGTGTAATGTGAGCTAAAATCCCATCACGTTTACTTTCACCGGGATAACTTTTTCCTGCTGATGACGTGGGCAGGGGTGGAGGCTGATGGAGATGGGGGCAATTCTGGGGTTAAATGCAAGCAGCGCAGACCCTTCAATCTCTGTGGCTGCTGGCCCAGAGTCAAAGATGAGGGTAGGTGGGGGTAGTGAGACCTGGTAGTTAGACCCTTTACCGTGAGTGCAGAGTGGGCCTCCCACGCTTCTCTCCCGTGGCCGGTGTGCCTAAGAGTGCATTGAGCCCCTCCCTCCGAGGAAGAATTTCTAAAAACTGGGCTAAGAGTTGAGCAAGCTTTTCTGGTAATCAAATTACTGCGTTTCCCTGAATAATTACAGACAGTAGGGAATGGTAAAATCTACATATCTACACGATCCCTACAGGAAGGTAGAAAAGGGCTAACATGCTTGCTAGTTTACTGTGCTTGCTAGTTTACCATTTGCAGGGCTATTTAGAGCACAATAAAAAGCTTCAAATCTCTTCTCCAACCAGCCAGAGGAGCACTTGATTCGCCCAAGACCGTATTGCTCGCTTTTGAAATATTACCCGGGCTCTGAGCTACAAAGCCACAGATCCAGACCCATTTGTCTGGCGAGGGCGCTGCCCCAGACCCGGCTCTCCCTGCTCACAGTTCAGCCTGAGAGGAACCCTGGGGTTTAACACTTGAGGGCCGAACTGGAGCATCTCACAGCCCTACAACTGCTTTGCGTCGCTTGGTCTGTCTTTGCGTTGCGGGAGCAGGATCGGTGTGTTTCTCAGGCACGGGCCGAAGGCCACTGGTACGTTCAGGAGTCTCCTGTGCCTGGAAGAGGCTGGTTTCGTTCGATTCGAAAAGAAACGGGTAAAGTGTAAATTTTAAGAAGTAACCTAGATTTCAAAAGCTTAAAAACTAACCAAGTCAGTGGACGATCAACAAACTACAATTATTTCGGGAGCCGCTTCCAGTTTAAAGTTTATTTATTATTATTATTTAAGCAAAGCAATTTCTACTCTCTCCACATCACCTTTGAGAAATAATCACGAAAAAGTCATTGTTTATTAAATAATGGTGGTTGTCTTAAACTTTTTCTGGGAAAAGCTTAGGGATAAGTATGTTAAAAAAGGCTGCTCAAAAAAAAAAAAAAAATAGACTTTTGCCCATACCCAATCTCGGAATTTCTGCCATCCTCGAAAAATACCGATTCTTCCTACAGCCCCACACTCTTTCAACAAATACTTTGTCATAAAACAGTAACATAGATCAGTATTTTTAAAACATTTTTGAGGGCGTTAGAGAACACTATGTAGAGTATTGCAGCCTTTTTTTCCCCCTGAGTTTTTATAAAACTGAAATGACCTTTTAAAGAAAAAAGCTCTTTGGGCAATTCGTTATTACATCCAGAGATAGAAAATAGATTCTGTTTGTTTAAACTTGGAGAAAATGTAAAATAGGCAATTAAATACTCATGAAAGGCAAACATTGAGTGAAAATAATATTAAGCAGACTATTCTCAGTCATTGTGCCAGTGATTCTCCTTACTGAAGGAGAATCAGCAGTAGGGACGTTGCTTCTTCCCTTATTCCACTTTCTTGCAAAAGTTACTGTAATGATCTCAGGGGAGCCAGTGATCTTTTCTATTTCAGCTAATGTCTACATGTTCAAAGGTTGCTTGCTCTTCTGGGTACAAAATTCAAAGTGTTTAGAGCAGCATGCTTCTTCCTAAGTTTCATTATTCTGAACTCACTTTAGAAGTCTGTGTCTAATTTGTGCTGGTACTAGATTATGTCTCTGTGTCCTTCTCTTCAAACTATAACTTAAGGAAAGAGAAGCTGTGACATATACTTTCATTTCATTTTGATACTTAATTTTAACACATTAGTTGTTAATAGACTCAAACCATAAGCTATTTTTTAAAATTGTTACAGTATCCTTAATTCTTTTACTTATCATATTGACTTAGTGAAAAATTATCCTTTCACATTTATTATGAATGTATAAAAGTTTAATCAGCTTTCCTATTGGATCAAGATACTTTTGTAATCAAGAATTACAAACATTCTATCCCATACACTAGGTTTTAAATAGTTAATTTTAAGTACAGTTGAGAGGCTGTTTATTTTACTATACTGAATTACTTATACGTAATATTATTATATTTTGATGCCATACAAAGTAGTTAAGGAAAAAGAAAGTAAAACATATATCCCTTCCATATGAGATATCAATGATTTATAGCCATTCCTACTTAAACATTTTAAATGATATCCTCCATATTAGGTATTTCAGAATGAGCTGTGAAATTCTGAAAAGAAAATTAAAATTGCACAGTGTTTAATAAATAATAAGAATGAAACTATTATAAAAATTAAGCCTGTAAGGACTTTTTGGAATTTTACACTAGAGAGAACAAGACAATAGCGTAATTTAGAATTGTACTAAAATTAAAAAAAAAAAAAAGCTTGAGGGAATGTTATGCAAAGACATAGAAATCTTATTTCTTGGCTACTATATTTTTATATAATGGAAGAATTTATGTTTGTACTTCTTCCTTAAGACATATTTCAGGCGGTAATACCAAGACAAGAAACAAGAGCTTACAAAACTACACAGCTGGTTATCTTTTTTATTTGAGAGTAGTCAGAATGAGTGGGTAGGTAGGAAGGAGGAGGGCTTGATTTGGGAATTTTGGCTAGAAAAGTGGATTTACTTTTGCCTTTGAAGCATTACACGTTGGCTATACCTGCACATTGATTATACTAGGGAAAACAGACCCTTGCCAGAGACATTAGCTTATATTGACATACTATTATGAATGACTTGTTCATACAGGAACTTACAAAATACTAGAAAATGATGGTAACACATGCATAAAAGCTTGGTGCTTGCTTTCATATAAGAGAATTTGTTAAAAGGGACACCATAGTTTATGAAAACTTGTGTGCTTCTTCCTGGTTTAATGATGCCAAACATCCAAATAGTATTTGCTGTGCTAAGCATAAGTGGAACATACAAATTTTATTAGCTAAGTGGTGAACACTTTGTTCAAGTTAGTATTTGAAACATACTTCAACAGTTATGCTTTGGATTGGTAAATAACTGTAACAAATTATATAGGTATTAACACTTAGGTGTAGAAGCAATCATTGTCCTATTTATCTTCACAAAAACCTTTATTTCTTGTAATTTGTATCCTGTTTCTTAAATTGCATTGTTTAGATGTTGAAACATTTGTAGCAGACATACTGAAAGGAGAAAATTTATCCAAGAAAGCAAAGGAAAAGAGAGAATCCCTTATTAAGAAGATAAAAGATGTTAATTCTATGTAAGTCACTTACCTTTTGTTACTGATTTCTTACATAGAAGCAATTTTAATAACCCTAACATTTTAATAAAAAATGGATTATTATGGGATTAAATTTTTCATGTTCTAATTTAATTGGTATTAAATATTTTTAAAGGGCAAAAAATGTATTTCCACCTATATAGTTTTTAAACATAGATATTCTTATCATAATACCCTTTGTATTTTTCTGAGCACTCTAGCAGAATTCAACTGTTTATTTTGATTATCTGAGGGTATATTTGGTTTAAATGATAAGACAAAGGTAGATTGAGGATTTTAATATACAGAATATACCTCAGACTGAAGAAAGAGAATCCTTTTAATTGTTCCTACTTTAAATGAATAAATGTAATGTATTTACATGTATTAGGTATTGAAGATATATCCTCATTTTACTACTGTACTTAGATCTTTAAAAATTATTTTATTTAAAATTTTTAAGCATTTTGAAATTGTCATTTCAGGACAGGAATTAGTGTTTTCAAATGTATGTCTAAATTATATTTTTAATATAGATTTTAGATTTTAATCATTGTTACTGATTAGACCTTGTTTTGATTTTTCAACCTCATTAAGAAATATGATGTTCTTTATTTTGCAGCTATCTTCAGGAATTTCAAGACAAAGGTAAGTTTTCATGTTTGGCAAACTTGTTTTTCCTCTGTGGAGATTTTCAGTAGGATAATCTAACACATACTGAAATTTGGTAGTTGGAATCAAAATTTAGATTTCTGTAATGTAGACTTAGACCTTCAAGATGAGAGTGCTAGCTCCCCCTGCTGAGAAGAAAATTAAAAAGTATATGCAGAATCTACTCTGCACAGTCTTCTGATGCAGAGATCTTATGCATTTAATATTCTTAGGTTATGTGTTTCTTAGGGTACGTTGTGGCGGAAATTTTTTAGGAAAGGCAAAATGCTGCAATTACACATGGAATAACTTGGTGAAGCAGAGATGAGATATTAATCCACTGCCATTCAACACTGCAGGGATTATTTTAATAGTAGTGGTGGGAGAAGGGCCTGTGGCTGAGGGCTTACAGGTAATGTTTTTGAAGGATGTTTTGAAAACAGTATAAATTTTTGTTTGAGAATATGAGTAAAATCTTTTTCAAGTAAAAGTTTTTACTTTTCTTGTGGTTCTTTTGATATGAATGCATAGGGGCCATAGACAGTTTTTAAAGAAAGGAAATCAGTTTCATTTTTTTTTTTGAAATAGTGAGAATGCTGGTAACCTGACTGTCTCCCTTTAGATTTGAGAGACAGCTGCTCAGCAGACTGAAAACCAGATCAGGAAAGGTACAGGAAGTTCCTACTACTTTATATATTCAGTTCTTTAAGGGAAACTGGGTGTGGCCTTTGCTTCCATGATACTTATTCATAGGTTATGACTTACAGCTTATGGATGCTGGTGTGAGGGTCACAATATGAGGTCAGTTAACTTCCATGGAGCTAGGTTCTGGGTTTGAGGAAGACACACAGTATGGCGTCTTCTGACTGAAGCTAGCAAATCCCAGAGTAAATCATATTTGTGCCAACTGATAAGTGAGAAGGTGGTAACAATATCAATAAACAAAAGACTTAACCAGACAAACCTAAAATCAATTAAAAGGAAGTCACAGTTTATTTTCACATTAGATCATCAAGCTTGGTATGATTGAAGGGAATGAAAAGAGATATATATTCATCTTAAAATTTTTAATACTTAAAGAAATAAGCAGTAAACTATTCCCTGCAAGTACTCACTTTTTTTGTGCTCTACAAGAAATCCTAAACTGTGGGTTTAATTATGTTGTATTTTGTTTAAATGAATGTAGAAATGAATTTATGCATTTTAATTATAATAAATTTTGTTATATAGCATACTTTATGGAATAATACTAGATACCAGATTCTGCCTCTCTTAAAAGGCATATTATTTCCAGTGATTATTTATTGAACTTACGTTGTGCTTTGTGGCTTAATTATTTGTACTTTTAAAAATTTTAAGCTAAAAAAGCATGATACGAAGTAATTGTGGATATGGATCAGTAATAGTGTGGAAACTTTCCCTTTGGTATTTTGTTTTAGAATTTGTTCAGGTGTGTTGATATTAAAATTACATTACTGAGATACATTGTTTTTCTCTAAAGAGAATAGAAATTTATATAGTATTTGATTGAAACTGAAAAGTGAGCATAAAATAAGAGTTCAAGTAGCATAGAATTTAGAGATGGCTCATAATCATTTTCCTCTGAATAAGGCATTTGTAGTTCAATAACAGCTGTACTGAGTTAACTAATCACGAAGAGTATCTGTTCAAAAGTAAGCCTGTAGATGAATTAGATGTATACCTTGGAGAAATATGAGCTCAGTACTTTTATGCCATTATAAACTCAAAGTATATTCAGCCTGGTTTTAAAAAGACTGTTCATGTACTTTGTTAGACATAGTAAAGGGTTCAGACCTAATAGTTGTAAATTAATTATTCAAGATACATTACATCTCTTTTTAAAAAAAGGAATTTATTTTCAGATCTCCACATTGAGTAAATTCAATTCTAAGTATGTTTTGGTGGTGTTGCCTTTTCTCCATCTTCCATTTTCCCTTTGAGGTTTTGGATTATCTTTATCCAAGGAGTTTTGGGCAGAATTCCTTTTGGCTACTTTCTGGTACTTTTTCTTCCCTCTTCCCTCTCTCTCTCTCTCTGGTCAATGTAGAGTCACACTGTGAACATAAGCTGTTTTCCTCCTTTCTACATTTATAGTCCTAATTTTATTTACATATATATGTATTTTAAATGACAGATATCATTTTAATATCACTATTGGGGAAAAAGGTTCTTAAGAGTTAATTCAGATTTATTTATATTTAACAACTTAGTTATTAATTTCTGTAATACACACAGATGTCTATCATCCGTCCTTCCTTCCCTCACAAATCCTTCCCTTCTACTCTTGATAATCTCCCATCCTGAGATTTAACAATACAGATTTTACAGTTTGAAGTCTTTCTTTCTTTCTTTTCTCTCTTTTTTTTTTTTGAGACAGGCTCTCATTCTGCCTCCCAGGCTGGAGGGCAGTGATACCATCTTGGCTCAGCGCAACCTCTGCCTTCCAGGCTCAAGCGATCCTCCCCCCTCAGCCTCTGGAGTAGATAGAACTATAGGCACTTGCCACCATGCCCAGCTAATTTTTTTTTTTTTTTTTTTTTTTTTTGGTAAAAACGGGGTTTTGCCATGTGTCCCAGGCTGGTCTTGAGCTCCTGGGTTGAAGAGGTCAGCCACCTCAGCCTCCCAAAGTACTGGGATTACAGGTGTGAGCCACCATGCCTGGCTGCCAATTCTTAAAATTTAAAATTAATTGAGTTGGTATAGTTGAAACACTAGGCTGCATAGATCTTAGGAGATTTTTTTTGGTACTTTTTTTTTTTTTTTTTTTTTGAAACAGAGTCTTGCTCTGTTGCCCAGGCTGGAGAGCAATGGCATGATCTTGGCTCACTGCATCATCTGCTTCCCAGGTTCAAGCAGTTCTCCTGCCTCAGCCTCCTGAGTACCTGGGATTACAGGCACGTGCCCCCATGTCTGGCTAATTTTTCTTTCTTTTTTTTTTTTTTTTTTTTGAGACGGAGTTTCACTCATGTTACCCAGGCTGGAGTGCAATGGCGCGATCTCGGCTCACCGCAACCTCCGCCTCCTGGGTTCAGGCAATTCTCCTGCCTCAGCCTCCTGAGTAGCTGGGATTACAGGCACGCACCACCATGCCCAGCTAATTTTTTGTATTTTTAGTAGAGACGGGGTTTCACCATGTTGACCAGGATGGTCTCGATCTCTTGACCTCGTGATCCACCCACCTCGGCCTCCCAAAGTGCTGGGATTACAGGCTTGAGCCACCGCGCCCGGCCAATTTTTCTATTTTTAGTAGAGACAGGGTTTCACCATGTTGGTGAGGCTGGTCTGGAACTCCTGACTTTGTGATCCATCTGCCTTGGCCTCCCAAAGTGCTGGGATTACAGGTGTGAGCCACCATACTCAGCAGTATTTCCATTTTTAGGGGTTAGAATAATTTACACTGGTAGAAACTCATTTTATTACAGTGGCTTCTAGATACTGAAGCTTGTGTATTAAGCTAATTTTTCAATTGGTATTTATATTCATTTCCATAGAAAGGTATTGTTTTAAAACTTTCCATTTCTTTCATTTATTAAAATACTTCTTTTATCCTTATATGTGCAAGTCTTCATTCCCCTATTAAAGAGATCTGACAAATTGTAGCTTCAGAATAATTATCAGTTGATTTTCTAAATTTCTTAATTTTACTTGTTCTTAGGAAAGATTTGAATCTAATCAGCCAGAACACTTCTTGCTTAGTCTGGTCCTTGTTATTCATTTGAAATATTGCCTGTTTTGTCTAGAACCGATAGTTCCTTCCCTTCCTATATCCTTCAAAGTATTGTATGTGACAGAATAACCTAGTATCTTTTTTTTCTTTTTTTTTTTGGAGACAGGATCTCACTCTGTCACTCAGGCTGGAGTGGAGTGGTGCCATCATGACTCACTGCAGTCTCAACCTTTCCCGGTTCCTTTGGGAGGCTAAGGTGATCCTTTTTCCACTGTGGCCTCTTGAGTAACTGGGATTATAGGTGCTCTGCCTATGTAACTTGTACTTTTTTGTAGAGATGGGTTTTCGCCATGTTGCCCAGGCTGGTCTTGAACTCCTGGGCTCAAGAGATCCACCTGCCTTGGCCTTCCAAAGTCCTGGGACTTACAGGCATGAGCCACTGTGCTCAGCTGACAGAATAACCTGGTTTCTAACCTTAGTTTTTTACTTGCAATATTGCCTCATACTGTAAAGTATCCTCCCGAATATTGGCTTCATGCACTGGAATTATGCTATGTGATTATTTCAGCATTGTTCTCTATCACATAACAAGGTTATAGGTCTCTTAATGTGACTTGAAATAATTATTTTTTGTGATTAGAATACAATACTTTTTCAGTACATACTGTTATTGACTGAGTATTAACTAGAATTTTCTAATGCTGTATGTACAGCATTAGTACATGATAAAAAATTTTTACCTATAGTTGTATCTCGATCATATATTAGTCTCAGTTTTCTCAAGAGATGATTTAGGTGTGATTACTTTCTTTTTTTGTTTTTTTGAGACAGAATCTCACTCTGTCACCTAGGCTGGAGTGCAGTGGTGTGGTCTTGGCCCACTGCAGCCTCCGCCTCCCAGGTTCAAACAATTCTCTTGCCTCGGCCTCCTGAGTAGCTGGAATTACAGGCATATACCACCACACCCAGCTAATTTTTGTATTTTTAGTAGAAATGGGGTTTCACCATGTTGGTCAGGCTGGTCTGGAACTCCTGACCTCGTGATCCGCCCGCCTCAGCCTCTCAAATGCTGGAATTACGGGCGTGAGCCACTGTGCCTGGCCCATTACTTTCTTTATAGAATGATCTACTGAAATAAGATAATGTGAAGATACTTGTACATAGTGGGTGTTTAATAAATGTTAATGTGTATTCTCAGATTCAGCTTCATTTGTCAAGATTTAAGTTAATCTTGATTAACATAATTCAATTTTCAAACAATTTGGGGAGAAATTATAAATTATTGAAAGAAGGGCAGATTTATTAGCAT